GGAAATGTCAGCCTTGTACCCTGCAAACAGATACCTTATAGTCTGGGCTTCACAGGTTTGCAGGTGAAGAGCATGTTTGTCCCATGATGGAGGACATCTAAAGTCTTAGCCATGTTTGATGACTCAGAAGATGGGATTCTGGACTTAAGCCTTTCCGTATCGTGTGATGGGGTGAATGTGTTTTGCACGATGCAAGGATGTGAAATGTTCGGAGCCAAAGGGTGGGATGTCAGGGATTGAATGACATCCCCCAAATGCATGTATGGTAAATCCCAACTCCTACGCCTGTGGTTATAATCCCACTTTGGAATGGGTTGTCTTGATGTTTATGAGATAAGATCAGTGTAGGATGTGTCTTAAATCAATCTCTTTTGCGATTCAGAAGAGAATAAACAAGGAATCGAGAAGCAAAGATGGGGGAGGGGAGATGCCAAGCCAGATGAGGGTCGCCCAGGAGCAGAGCCCAAAAGGAGACAAGCACCTTCCCCCAGCGGACGCAGAAAGCCTCCCCACAGCTGGGGGCCTGATGGCAGATTCCAGACCCCCAGCTGTGAGGGATGCATGTTAAAGCCTCGGCCCGTGGTGTTTCTGGTACAGCAGCATTAGAGAGCCAGGTGAGAGCTGGTGCGGGAGATTCAGGAGGAGGGGGTATCAGGGGGTCTGCACTCACCCAGGCACCAGGTCCACCTTGTTGTGCACCTCCACCATGGAGTCCAGCAGCAGGGTGGGCAGGCGCAGGCCGCGCAGTGCGGACACGACGCTGGCTTTCTGCAGCTCCGTCTCAGGGTGGCTGGCATCCCGCACGTGGACGATCAGGTCCTGCAGGAGACGTGTGGTCAGGCCCCACCCACACATACAAGGAGGGTCAAAAGCTCCTGCCCTGAGGGCCTCGACCTGGCGAGTCTGGGGTTGGGTAGGTGTGGGAGTGAGGCTTCCACAGTCCCACCCACCAAGACGGTGGGTTGCCAGGGCAGGTGGGTTGCCCGAGACCAGAGCCTGCCACCCAGGTATCTGCTCCTTTGTTCCACCAGGTCTCTTCCCGCTGCTTCCTGTCACACCCCAGACCGAGGGTCTTCATGGGCGGGCTCAGCCTTGAGCCACAGGGTGTCTGTCCACACTCTCAGACAACCACCCACCAGTCAACCTACTACCAAGCAACCACCCACCAACCACAGGGTTTCTGTCCAGACTCATGGACAGCGGGGCTTCCAGACACAACCAGTCACCCACCTCCCAAAGGGTGTCGTCCACCCAGACTCACAGACAACATTGCTTCCAGTTACAACCACCCCTACCAGTCAACCAAATACCAAGCCACCACTAATCAATCAACAAACCAGCCACCCACCCACCCATCAACCACACAACCACACTATCACCTTTCACCCCACCTACAAACCAACTGTTCGTGTTGTTGTTATGTGCCGTCAAGTTGGACCCGAGTCATAGAGACCTTTGTTTGTGTTTCTGAGGCAGTATCACTACGGAAGTAGATTGCCCAACCTTCCTTCTGAGGAGTGGCTGGTGGGTTTGAACCATCAGCCTTCTGGTTAGCAGTCAAGTGCCTTAGGCACCACACTACCAGAGCTCCTACTTATGCACAAACCACCCACCCACCAACCAACCAACTGACCTAAACCTCCACTCATCAACTGGTACTTGGATCAAAGCTCTGGGATGTTTTATCCTACTGGGTATTTTCTTTTTTAAGGCTAAATTATTTTGTTTTAAAGAAATACTCTTTTCCTAAATTTCAGAAGTTTCAAAGACAAGTTCCTTACACAAAATGTGGACAACACAGTTAACATATAAAGAAAAAGTAAAAACCACTGGTTGTTGTACCACCCAGAAGCGGCTGTGATGTACACCTTACGTTGTTGACTTCCACCAGTGGTTTATTCTGGACGCACTCAAAAGTGTAACGAACCTTTTAGTTTCAGAGTTGTTCTAGGATCATGGAAAAGCTGTGAGGGCCACGCGGAGCCCCCGTGGACCCCCACCTGGCTTCCCTGTCATCTCACCGAGGTTGGGGCACTGGGCACAGCTTGAGAACCTACATGGAGGCCCAACGCTAATCCCACTCCACACTTTAGTCAGCTGCACGGAGTTTCCCCACATCCTTTTCCTGTTCCAGGAGCCAATCCGAGAACGTTTACTCAAAACAGCAACGTTTCCCCTTTCTGGAGCTCCTACCTGCCGCTCGCTGCCTCAGCCAGTTCCTTGCAAGCAATCTGTCTGTCTGTCTCTGTATAGACTAAAACCTGTGAAAGCCTGCACCCGTGTAAGGCAGAAACCTGCCCGAGAAGAACATGCAAATGTTTTCCGCTAAAACGTGTGACAAGTGGCGAGGCTGTGCCCTGTCAAAGGTGGAAAACAAAGCTGTCCCACTGAGTTCCAGCTCTGACAGGTGCCCCGGAGAAGGCTGCAGACACAGGCACGTGTCGCGGGTGCTGGGGAAGGGACGCTGTCGTGGGATGAGCCATGACAGAAACTGGCCGCTTCCTCTGGGATCTGCAGGAAAGGTTTCAACCTCACCATCACCCACCTCTACCTCCCTGGCTGCTCCACACCCTGAAGGAGTGGGCGACTTGACAGGGGCACTTCCTGTCCCTGAGGCCTGGCACTAGAGGCAGAGCTGGGGCCCGACCTGCAGGAGCAACCCCAGACCCAGCTCAGACAGGAGCCCCTCGGCCCTCTGCTCTCGCCCGGGACGCTCTCCCTGGGCCTCGGCCACACTGTGCTCTGAGCCCGCGCCCTCCCGGAGCCCCAGCCGCCCTCTATTGTCACCCAGGGTGCTCTCCCTGACAGGCAGGGGTTGGTGTGATGTCTCTGCTCAGCTGGCCCAGTGATTCAAACAGAGAGGACCGACACGGATCGAGAGGACAGATGACAGAGAGGACGGATGACAGAGAGGACACGGCCGAGAGGACGGATGACAGAGATGCTGGAGCGCACAGATGACTGACAGAGAGGACAGACAGAGAGGACCGACACGGATCGAGAGGACAGGTGACAGAGAGGACAGGTGACAGAGAGGACAGGTGACAGAGAGGACGGATGACAGAGATGCTGGAGAGGACAGATGACTGACAGGACAGACAGAGAGGACCGACACGGATCGAGAGGCGACAGGCAGTGATGGATAGAGGATCGAGATGGTGTGATGGACTGAATTGTGGCCCCCTGAATACGTGCTGTAAACCCTAAGCCCTACCCCTGTGGTAGCAATCCCATCTGGGAAAGGCAGGGGTTTTCTCTGTTATGTTAAGGAGGCTCGATCAGTGCAGGTACATCTTGAATCCATCTCTTTGGCGATACAAAGAGAGCCAACTGAGCAAACCACCAAGCAAGACGGCTGAGACGGGGGAAGCGACCCCTGCCACGTGAGACCCCCAAGGGGCCAAGGAACGGAAGCTGGGAAGGGACCAGGGCCCTCCTGCGGAGCCAACGGAGAGGGAGCCTTCCCCCAGGGCCAGCACCCCGGTCAGACGGCCAGCCCCCGGAACCGTGAAAACATAAAGTCCTCCTCTTTAAAGCCGCCCGCCTGTGGCATTTCTGTGACAGCAGCACTGAGACGGGAGGCATTTTGTTAACAGGGCTTAAAATTCAGAGGCAGCCGGCCCAAAGTCAAGGCGATCACCTGCAATAACGTGGGTGGGCCTGATCCAATCAGGTGGGGACCTTAAGAGCAAAATATGAAGCTTCCCAAGAGACGAAAGATTCGGCCCCAAGACTGTAACACGGACACCTAGCTAGTCTCCCTGCTGCCACCACTGCAGGTTTGGAACCCCTGTAGTCACAGGGCCACCCGTGCAAACCAACCTTCGTGTTACTCCCTGCCCACTGGTTCTGCTGCTCTGGAGGCCCGACAGACATTCGGCCCCTCAGGACAGAGCCTGCCCACACGGCCTCCCGCACTCACAGCATGGGCCACGTCCTCCAGGGTGGCCGTGAAGGACTCGATGAGCTCGTGGGGCAGCTGGGAGAGGAAGCCGACAGTGTCCACGTAGAGCACGGTCATGCGTGAGGGCAGGGAGCCCGCGTGGGCCGTGACGTCCAGCGTCGCAAACAGCTGGTCCCGAGGCTGTGCGGCGGCATCGCCGGTCAGCGCCCGGATCAGAGTGGTTTTCCCTGGAGGCGGCACAGGCGCAGGGTCACG